TCTCTAAGCCCACCCCCAGTGACATGCTTCCTTCAGGATAGCCATGCCTTCTAAAACCTCCCCAAACAGCGCCATCATCTGGGGACAAAATGTCCAAATACTTGGAGACTGTGGGGGACATTTTCATTCAAACCACCACACAGCCTGCCTGTTAGGCTGCCTTAAAACTTCTTCACCCAAACAAATTAGTCCATTACTTTGAATTCAGTCTTGCTCATTAAAATACATTTTATTTATCTATTTACTTTCTCTCTCTCTCTCTCTCTCTCTCTCTCTCTCTCTCTCTCTCTCTCTCTCTCTCTCTCTCCACGCGTGTGGTTGCCTGTGGAGACCAGAAAAGGATGTCAGATCCTCTGGAACTGGAGTTACAGTTTCCAAATGTGGGTGCTGAGATCTGAATTCAGTGTCTCTGGAATAGCAGCAACTGTTCTTAACTGCAGAACCATCCGTCCATCCTTCCCCTGCTCAAGTTTTTAGAATATAGGTAGAAAGTAGCCGGAGTATTTGCCAGAATGTAGCCTGAATGGCTTTTAGCCCAGTTCCTGATAGAGTCTTTGCTCTCCTCTGAAACCTTCTGAACCAAGGCCTCCACAGTCTGAAGTTCTATTGGCATTTTTGTCTTCCAGCCTCCCACTAGAACAACTCATCAAGCTCTGCTTACAGCACTCAAGTGCTTCTCTAGCCCACAACTCTGAACTCTTCCACATTTCTCCTTCGAGCTAATTCCAAAGGCCTATAAACCAGGTGGTCAGGTTTACCACAGCAGCAGCCACACTCCTGTATCAATTTTCTGTATTGGTTATTTTTCTGATTGCTGTGGCCAAATGTCTGACAAAAATCAAATTAAAGGAGGAAGGGTTTGTTTTGAGTCACGATGTAAGGGGCTATGGTCCCTCATGATGGAGAAGGCATGATGGCCAGCAGTCCAGTGGTGGCAGGAGTATGTGTCTGGGATTACTCACATCTTGGTGGACCAGGATGCGGAGAGAGATTAGGCTGGAAGTGAAGCTGGGCTATAATCCCAACACCTCGCCCCAGTGTCCACTTTTTCCAACTAGGTCCCCATGTTCTAAAGAAGCCACAGCCTCTTAAAACAGTGCCACCGGCTGGGGCCCAAGTGTTCAAACACATGAGCCTGTGAGGGACATTTCTTCAGACTGTCATGCAGGGAAGCCAGGAAACAGTCAAATACAGCAACATGATAGAACTATCTCTAATGCTTTACTCTTAAGCTCCCTATGCCAATTCTTTGAAGCAAATTTCTTGTGGATAACATAACATTAGTGACTTTTAATCCATTCTGCTGCTCTCCATAGTTTAATTGGTGAATTTGGGTAATTTACATTTGAAATAATTATATTAGGGCTTAACTGGTATCATTTATTTTATTTTTATTTATTTGTTTTTAATTAATTTATTTTTCTGTGTACGAGTGTTTTGCCTGCATGCAAGTGCATCTGTGTGTGCAATGCTTGCAGAGGTCAGACCAGGGCATCAGATCCCCCTAGAACTACAGTTACAGATGGTTGTGGTTGTTATCTACCATGTGGGTGCTGGGATGGGAACCGAACCTGGGTCCTATGCAAGAGCAGCCAGTTCTCTTAACTGCTGAGCCATCTCTCCAGCCTTTTTTTTTCTTTCTGTTTATTGTCTCTCTTTTCGAATCTCTCTCTTTCCCTCTCTTTGCCTTTCTGTGGATCATCTTCCTAAGGCAAATGAGGAAGACTTACTTCCATTGTGATCTCTTTATTTTCCTCAGTTTCTTTTAAAAAAAAACACACTTTTTAAGATTTATTTATTTTATTTTTTGAGTGTGTTTGTCTGCATGTATGCATGTATGCATATGCACCACATGTGCTAGGAGCTGAACTTGGGTCCTCTGCAAAAGCAGCAAGTGCTCTTAACTGCTGAGCCTTCTCTCCAGCCCACCTCTTAAATTTCTAAATATATTCATTTATAACATTTCCCAGGTGTAGACCGAACACCACATCAGATGGTATCATAACTTATGATAACAAATCATGATTAAGAAAACAGCAAACCATCTTAGTTTACCTTCATCTGGGACTGTCTTTACATTATTCTTTTTTTCTCAAAGATTATTTTTACCAGGTATTACATTCACAGTTGACACACTTTTTTTTCTTTCAAAACTTGAAAAATGTGTACATGTCATCCTGACTCCATGGTTTCTATGGGAACTCTGTTATCACTTGGCTTGGTGTTCCCCTCCAAGTAATGGGTTTCTCTGTAGCTGTTGAATATTGTTTTTTTCTTTAATCTACAAAAGTTTATGATGTATTGGTGTTGGTATGGATTTTCTTTTAAATACTTGCTTTATTTAAAAAAAATTAATTTTAAGCCGGGCATGGTGGCATACACCTTTAATTCCAGCACTCGGGAGGCAGAGACAGGTGGATCTCTGTGAGTTCCAGGCCAGCCCGGTCTACCTAGTGAGTTCCAGGACAGCTAGGGCTACAGGGAGACCCTGTCTCAAAAAGACCAAAAAAATTAATTTTAATTAAAAAATTGTTTTTTGGTTTTTTTGGAGATAGGGTTTCCCTGTATCCCCAGTTGACCTTGCACTCAATATATAGACCAGGTCGACCTTGATCTCAGAGATTTACCTGCCTCTGCCTCCCCAGTGCTGGGACTTAGGTATAATTTAAGTGCTTATTTTTATTTATTTATTTATTTATTTATTTATTTGTTTATTTATTTACTGGTCTTTTTGAGACAGGGTCTCCAGCTGGCCTGGAACTCACTGTGTAGACCAGGCAGGCCTTGAACTCACAGAGATCTGCCTGCCTCTGCCTCCCAAGTGCTAGGACTACAAGCACGTGCCACCATGCCCGGCTTTTATTTTTATGTATATGAGTTTTTGCTTGCATGAATATAAGTGCATCACATGTGTGCAATGCTCACAGAGGCCAAAAGAGTGTTTTATATCCCCTGGAACAGGATTTACAAACTGTTGCTAGCTGCCATGTAGGTGCTGGAAACCAAATCCGGGTCCTCTGGAAGAGTAGCCAGTTCTCTTAATCACCCATCCATGGCCCCAGACCCTAGATTTGTAAATAGTTTATCAAGTTTGGGCTTCTTGAACTATTCTGAGATTCCAGTAATAGAAATGCTAGTTTTTTTGTTTTTGGTTGTCATTGCTGCATCACAGATGCCTAAAGCTCTGCTCATTTTTTCAGTCTATTTTATCTCTGCTGTTCAGGCTGCTTCCGTTTTGTTAATCTGGCTTCATGTTCACTCATTTTTATCTTGTTATTGCCATTCTACTTACTACTGAGTCCAACTGGTAAGTTAAATTTTTTTCAGTGAATTGTTTTTAGTTATACCTTTGACTCTTTTTACAGCTTCTATTTCTTGGTTGTAATATTCTATTTTAAGAATTTGTGGTTGTTCATGCCTTTGATCTGACGATGTATGAGGCAGAGTCAGGCAGATCTCTGTGAGTTTGGGGCCAGTATGGTCTACATAGCAAGTTCCAGGCCAGCTGGGGTTACAGGGAGACCCTACCTGAAAAAAAAATTAAGAGGCAGGAAAATGGCTTAGTAGGAAGTTACAGTAATAGCAGATCAAAGTAGACTCAGAAAACCCTGTTCAGCCATGGCTTGACCAAGCAGTACAACCTGGGAGGAGACTTCTATAACTCCCTACTAATCTTCCCAGAGTCTGCCTCATCTGATAGAGGTGTGCTAGGTCTGTACACACTGCTGATGAGTTGTCCTCCACAGCCCTGCTGCCTCCCCCTGCTCTGTACACTTGTTCAGAGGTAGGAACCTCTGACCTTACAGTGTATGCGTGGTATATGTATGATGTGTGATTGTATGACACACATAGTGTTTGTATCTGTGTCTCTGTGTGTGTGTGTAGTACATGGTGTATGTGTGTGTGTGTGTGTGTGTGTGTGTGTGTGTATCTGTTAGAAATAAAAACTGAGGTCCAAGAACCCCACCAATACTTCACAAAGAACATGCAGACAAAGGAAAGCAACCTAGAAAGGCAGATTTTACTTTTGCAAAAGGCTATGTTGCATGTCAGTCAAATCCAGCAAGCACACAGGACCCAGAGGTTTGGTAGGTTTTTATCCCAATGCAAGAGTACTGTGTCTTTTTTTCTGATCCACTCAAGTCCAACCTCATAGTCCTTCTGGATTGGCTAGCTTAAAAGAATCAGCATAAAGGAGGTAGGTGTATGTTTCAGGGTGGGTTGTGGGGGTGTGGGGTGTCCACTCTCAATGCCATCAGGTTTGAGAATGCATCAGGGCCTTTTCTTTAAAAAAAAGTCTTAGAGGGTATTGTGGGATTAAAAGACTAGAATTCCTTGTCATAGACCAACCTTTTACATGGTTTGAAAGAAAAGACTATTATTTAATGTTTCTTACAAATCCCTCCTCTTATTTTCTTTTTAAAAAAAATGTTTTGGTAGGGTGTGGTGGTGCACGCCTTTAATCCCAGCACTCGGGAGGTAGGGGAAGGTGGATCTCTGTGAGTTCAAGACCAGCCTGGTCTACATAGTGAGTTCCAGGCCAGCTGGGGCTACAGGGAGACACTGTCTTAAAAAAGCCAAAAAAAAAAAAAATATATATATATATATATTTTGAATAAGATCGAGAGGGCCAGGCCACCTACTCACTGCGCGTGTGCAAGCAGAGGGGTGCATGCGCAGTGACGCTGGCAGCTTCAGCGTGCTGGTCGCAGATTCCACAGCACAGGAGTCCAGGAGGCGTGGCTGGCAGGTAGACCAGGATGTTCTCTCGGAGGAGGACCGCGTGGTCATTCATTTAGGACATGACTGGGACCCTACCTGCATGAAGATGGACGAGGTTCTGTATAGCATCGCCGAAAAGAAATGGAAGATAGTGGGAGATCGTCCTTATTTTGTTTATGCCCTATTTGGATATCCCAGCTGTTTCAAAGCTGTTGGTGTTGCTTGTACTTAATGGCATCCTCTCTGGTTCAACGCAGTCCGAAACCCTGTCAGGGTTTCTACCTGCCACCAAAATGAACATCGGCTGTGCTTGGCCAGATGACCTGATGAACATGCAACATTGCAACCTCCTTCACCTTCCTGAGAATTACCAGATGAAATACTACTTCTACCATGGCCTGTCCTGGCCCCAGCTCTCCTGCATTGCTGAGGATGAAGATGGGAAGATTGTGGGCTATGTACTGGCCAAAACGGAGGAGGAGCCTGATGATGTCCTCCATGGACATATCACCTCACTAGCTGTGAAACGTCACACCAGGGGGCGTCTTGGCCTGCCTCAGAAGCTAATGGATCAGGCCCCACAGGCCATGATGGAGAACTTTAGTGCTAAGTATGTGTCTTTGCACATCAGGAAGTGTAACTGGGCATCCTTGCACCTTTATTCTAACACCTTCAACTTCTGGGTTAATGAGGTAGAGCCCAAGTACTATGCAGATGGGGAGGATGCTTATGCTATTAAGCAATATCTCTTCCAGATTGCAGATGAGCTGAGACAGCAGATGGTGCTGAAGAAGAGTAGATATGTGGTTCTGGGCTCCAGGGAGAACCAGGAGACTCAGGGCAGCACACTTCCTGGTTCTGAAGAGGCCTGTGAACAGGAGAACCTGGCTGGAGATGACAGTGTCAGTGACAACAAAGACAGCACTGATGTCCAGGACTGCTCACAGGACTTGGATTCTGCCGTCTAGATCCTGCTTGAGCACCACAGCTTGCATTTCAGCCACATTTGTCTTCTTAACTGCTCTGCAGTATCTGCTTTGGGGTCATCTCAGAGTGACCTGAATGACTTGCCATTTTCAACTCTCAACAGCCACCTTTCATGTACCCTGCTGTGATCATGAAGGCATACCCGGACATGGAACCTACTGTGCAAGGGCCAAGGAAGCCTGAGGACTGCCGTGACAGAATCTGCCTTGGCTCACACTACTGTGCTGCCATTGTTTTGTTAGCAGTTGTCCAGCGTTGGGTTGTGGTTACTCCACAGGCTCCCTCTTACAATGCTAAACGGGAAGCAGGGATGACTTTGGAAGCTCCCCAGCTTTCAGCGTTGTCATTATTTATCTGGGTTTCATTCTTAGAATAGTGTCCAAGCTAAGCATCAAGTTAGTCCTCATTCCCCCTCCTTTTCTGGTGGATGTTACCTACTCTTGCTTTCTCTGGAAACTGCGTATGTTCTGTCCTCCCCTTTGAGGAAGAATTTTTCCCTTTCCCGGTGGGAGAAGGTAATAAATAGTGGACTTGCACACAAGCAGAAGTTGAAGATTTTAAGAAAAGGACAAGCAGCAACTAAGTTGAAGTCTCTAACCTGAAAAAAATAAAAGTATAAAAAAGAAAAAAAATATTATTTTTATTTTATGTGTATGAGAGTGTTGCCTGCGTGTATGTGAGTCATGCAATGCTGCAGAGGTCAGAAGAGGGCTTCGGATTCCCCTGGAACTTGAGTTAAGAATGGTTCGTAGCTGCCATGTGGGTGCTGGGAATCGAACTTGGGTCCTCTGCAAAAGCAGTCAGTGCTCTTAACCACTGAGTCATCTCTCCAGCCCCCCTCCTCTTATTTTCTTAAACACTCTTCAAACTCAGTAAGAAGGCATTGGCTGTTTTTCTGTTATATCTTTGGAGAAAGAAACTGCTATAGGGAGGGGGCATTTGTTTGGTAATACCTGACTCAATAAAGCTCTGAGTTGGGCCCCTAACACGCGGTATAATACAGGATTAGGACACCCATCATGATTACCAAGGAGGTTAGCATAGAGCCCATAAGACCACTCCATTTTCCAAACTATTCTTCCAGAAGGTCAGGGGGTTCCCAAATTTTCAGTTCTTTAGAAAGGGCCTTAAGGCCTTGGAGAACTCTAGTAATAGCTCCTTTTGGAGCTGTGATATTAAGGATGATCCTAAAACCTTAATCCCCTTTTTTTCAGGCAAAATCATGTCTAATCCTAACCTATTCTCACAAACCATTTTGCTGGCAGAGCTGAATGGGGTCATAAGGTATAGCAGTCAAGGTACTTCTCCAGTAAGTCGATCTAAAAGGCTCCAAAAGTGCATCAGTAGTGTTATTTGTATAACTTTCAGATGAAGGCAGGAAAGGATATCATTGACTGGTGTCTGGAAAGAGATGTGAGGGAGGAAAGGAAAGAGTTATTAGCATTAAAAGTTTTAGCAAACTTGGAGAATTTCTTGATAGACTCAGAAGAGCGTCCATCCACTAGGCTCCTCATTTTTCTTTTGGCTTACAAGGTTGGACTCAAGAGTGATGAACTTAGGATCTGTTTTCAGGCACTTTGGTAACTGTTGGAGTGGCTAGAATCAGGGTGAGTTCCCTCTCAATTGGTTTCTAGAGAAGGAAAGAGGAGAAATTTAACTATCATTTAGGTAAAAACAATAGTGGGCCTGTCTCTCTTGGCTGCAGGTAGGTACCACAGTGTTGAGACTGCAGGATAAAGGTCTGAAGCCTTATATCAGGGCAGCATTTTTTTCTTACCAAGAAGAAAGTCATTAGTGAGAAGTAATTTTCTGAATAACACCTCATATGGCCTTGAACCTAATGTCTGGGGAATACAATTCCTTTCACTCTAAGGAACTATACAAACAAGTTTAATCTTTGGCTATAACTTCCTGTTGGTTATTTAAAACCATGCAGTTGGTCAAAATTAACTTGGAAAAAATCCTCAGGTCATTTGAGGATCTGGTCCTTAGGGTCACCTGGGCCTGGGAGGAGCCTCTGGCTCCTTTGGTCTTCCTTTTACCAGTGGTTCAATCTATGTGAGGATAAGTCAAAGGCCTTGACCTTGGCTCTGCTTCAAAGAATTGAGGAAACTTTTTCCTCTGTGTTGACCCCGCTCTTTGTAGACTGGACACTGGTTTGAGTCCATCTAGTGCGCTTGCCATGGTTCCCTGAACAAGACAGGTGACTCATCACAGTTATGAGACATTTCAAGAGATGCCCCATAGTCCCCTGGGACCTAGCTGACCTTAGAGAACAAGGGCAAAAGTGTCCCTTTAAGTTCCTCTGACCACATTAGTATACACCTCCAAGTATGGTTATTAAATACCCAAGAAGTTTAGCTGTACCAGTCTGGTGCTTTTCATTACTGTGTCATATGTTGATAAAATTTGAGCAAATAAAAACTAAATGTTCTTAATTAGACATATATTTTGTTCCTTAAGCCAGCCCTTGTAACTGTTAACAAAAGTAGATCAATAGCGCCATCAATAGAGCTTTGACTGAACTTTTACCTTAGAAATTTTAAGATAATCTATGCATCATCTCTAAGTCATCTTGCACATACCTTCACAAACTTACTCAAACCTTCATAGCTTGCATAAACTTTCTCATTTTCTATTCTGGAAACATCCAGCCATCTTAAGCTTCGTACATGAATCTTTCTTTACTAAATATCTCCATTTCCATATCCTTATAATACCTTCTTTCACATTCTCATTTCCTTTCTTTACACCATGAAACATAATAACATTAACAAATTTACAGTCTGGTGCGAGAATTTACTTCTCCAGATGATATATCCCCTTTTTAAAAAATGTATAATTAAAAAAAATTATTTATTTAATAACCACATACTTAGAAGAAGCATTTCATTACAACTGCATTGACATATTCAATAACAATTTCCAGAGCTAAGATGCATCTCTTTCAAAATTGGATGTAAATTTTCAGGTTTACAGTTGAATTATTACAGTTATACAGTGTTGTACGCAGTGTAAACCCATAACTTTTTTTTGAGGTATTTACTTTTTTTTCTTGATTTCTTTTTTTTTAATTAGAAGAAGCATTTCATTACAACAGCATTAACCTATTCAATAACATTTTTCTGAGCTAGGGTACATCTCTTTCAAAATTGGCTCTAAATTTTTAGGTTCACAGTTGAATTATTACAGTTATACAATATTGTACTCCATATACACCCTATGAGACATAAAATTAAATGGGGTTTTAAACTTTAAAAAAGATCACCATTTCATTATTAAAATACACATCTAATTATTAAGGAGCAAATTTTTATGCTTTAAGGTTTTAACATATTCAGTAACACACTCCAGAGCAAGAGTACATCTCTTTCACAAGTGGCTTCAAGAATCTAGGTTCACAGTTGAATTAATACAGTTATACAATATTGAACTCAGTATAAGCCCTGTAAGACATAAAATTGAATGTGTTTTTAACCTTTTAAAAAGATCTCCATTTAGCTCCTGGCCTGCTACCCTATCCTCAGGCCTCTCGGGGTGGGTCCATCGCGGAGCCCTAGCGCATTGACTCCCCCTGCCTCATTCGCCCTTCCATCTCCGCTGCTGTTCTCTGCTCCTGGTTTGGGCCCTGTGCCATTCCTGGTCTTGGGTCCCCAGACACCTGGGGAACTGGTGCTGCTTCCTGATCCTTTTCGCCCAGGCAAGCTTGGTGCCTTCCTTGGGCCCCAGGAGCACTGCTTCCGCGGGACCTGGCCCCGCCCTCACCTCTCCCTGCTTCCGGACCTGCACCACTGGCTAACTCTCCTGGCCGGCTCTCCCGCCCTCAGGCCTCTCTTGGGGTAAGTCTACCCTGCAGCCCTCTGCGCCTTGACTCTGCCAGCCGCTCTCACCCTTCCATCTCCCCCACTGTTCTCTACTCCTAGCTTGGGCCCTGTGCCATTCCTAGTCTTGGGGCCCCAGACACCTGGGGAGCCAGTGCTGATTCCTGACCCTGTTCACCCCCACCAGCCTGGTGCCTTCCTTGGGCCCCAGGAGTACTGCCTCTGGACCCG